TGTTAATATATACTTAACTAATTTGAAAAAAAAAAAGTGAAAATAAAAATCAAACACCATGCCTTCTTGGTGTTAGAGCAAATTGGAGTTCTGTTTTATAAATACAATCCATTTTATTCTGTGTAATAATTAGCGCTGATCTATGAGAACATTATATCATGTTATTTCTTTACATAAACTAACTTTAGCATACACAATTAATGCCATGCATAATGCCACATTCAAACATGGGAGAACTCCGTCAGTAATTGGTATCTGTCTCCAAGTGTAAAAGACACACTTTCACAAATTTTACTTGTGTAAAAATATCTAATAAAATGTTTTAGACCATCCTTGTTTTCTTCCATTTCTGGTTTTAAAATATAAATTACCCAAAAAATAAAACAAAAAGCACAAAAGACAAGGGCAGCCATAACATTTTCCCATGCCTGCATAGATGTGTTTGTGTGTTTTTTTTTCCTAAACAGAAAAATAAAATGTAAACAAAGGACAGAACTCTGCAGGATGAAACTTCCGTAGAAGCTGGTGAACAAAACTTTCTAAACAGCATTTGAAATGATCATCACAATGAAACACAAACGAGTGCAATAAAGTCCACAGTAAGAGGATGTGTTCCCTAACTCTGCTTCCCTTTGCAAAGGCACCGAGTACCTTTATGAGGCAAAGACTCCCTTTCTCTCCTTCATTTCCCAGATTAACTGGCCTGCTTATTGAAGTCTTGGCTTGAAGTCAGTGACTCTTTCAAACAAATGAAATCAACTTAATTGAGTCGGAGTTGCAACATCTGTCCTCCGCATAAAGAGCTAATAAAAACTCTGGGGTAAATTTTGCATTCCAACAAATTTTTCAATGCACTCCTTTAGATTAAAAGCGTGGGTATTGGAAATGTGTTTAAAGACCTTGAATATATTTGCATGTCAGATAGCAGGAGGCATTTATCATACCAACCTACAGCAGGTCGAGTTTAAGTGGATGCCTCGGCAATAACAACAAGGATTGCTGCTATTATTTCTGTAAATGAAATTGAGCTTCCTTCAATAAAAGAAATTAAAAAGCAAGATCATATTGGTTTGTGAGTGTTTCTAGCTTAAGCTCTTTAACTGAGGTGATGTGTTTATATTTTTCCAAATGTTAGAAATATTTTAATAGATGGATGAGCTGCAGCAGTAAATGAGCTGTTGAGAGAAATGCTTATCCTGGAACCTGTTTCTTGTGCTTGATGATTTCATACCTCAGCTAAATCCTTTTAATCTGTATCTGTCCAGTGTTTTTGAATATATTTTCTATTGGAAATTTATCCAAAAACTAAACTCAGTTACTTCTTAAGGAATTAAATAGATCATGAAACAAATACACATATCAGTGGTGGGCGGTGCATATGGTAACTAGGCCTTCAGTGGGCACCCCTCAACTTTATCTACTTTTTATCCCTTGATCTCCATATATACATAGCGCAGATGTGTATCTGCGGGCATGAACAAATATCTGCGGGCATGAACAAATATACATATATGTATGTAAATATATATATATATATATATATATATATATATATATATATATATATATATATATATATATATACACATTTGGATGTCAATTTGCAATAATGGGTGTCAAGGGGTTAATAGCACCACCTTCACATTTTAACAAAAGAAACAATCAATAGTATTCAAATATGAAATGCAACAAGCGCAGGTCTAACTGAGACAAAGATTAGTGTGAGCGAGAACGCTAAGATCAAGTAAGCAAGAAGCCCAGTTAAGAGCACCGCAATCCTCTACCTTATAACCACAGCTCTGACACATTTACACCATCAGGAGCCATTTAAATTCAATATGCCTCTAATTACCAGATAAAATGGAGATTAAGCGTGAAAATTAAATATATATAACACTCACAAGAGGTGCTGATTATTTACAAACAAAATCCTTTTACCTGTCTTTGTGCAGGAAGTCTTTGTATCTCCATTAAGGATCAGCCATTGAGGCCAGAAGAACTTTAAACAAGAGAAAATCTAAAATGCTGATTGTCGTTAGCTTAACTTGGCTGTAAATATTTTGCTCTAACTGAGCAATCAGAGGACAGAAAATGCTGACAAATGTGTGTGCCCTCTAGCTGCCCCCAAATCTGAAATATGATTGGTTGAAGAAAATGCTCCTCACTAATATTGTTAGATAACATCAGCCAGTACTGCTGATTCTGAAGGCCCTGGGCAGATTTGATTGACACAGCAATGCACTAAGGCTGAAATCTGATTGGACAAAAAATATAGAGAGACCACATAAATTTAATGTAAGCAGCTCAGTCATCAAGAGATATACATACAAAATGAAGAGAATCAATTGTTTTGAATACAATAATAGAGCTGGAAAGAAGAAAATTCAAGTTTAGGTTGAGAATATATATATGTTAGTGTTTCTGATTGATTTTAGGCCAGCAGAGAAGGCTTTGAAGGCCCTCACAACCCACCACTGATATATATATATATATATATATATATATATATATATATATATATATATATATATATATATATATATATATATAATTTTTTTTTTACCAGATCTACATTTTCTCATCAGTTGTTGTAAGTAAACACTCAAATAAGGGAATGATTGCACAATGAGCTAGCTATAAATTTACTTTGTCATTTAAAAAACAAGTGAAGAAAAGTATTTTTTTTACTATAATTTAACTTCCCTCTGTTGTTTTGTCTTTACATGTTGTTGTTTTAGGTATCACTGTTCCATCTCTGATATTTTAAAGCAACAGCTGATTGTTTCACCATTCTGCCTTGATGTCTCAGGCAAAACAACTGTAAGCATAAGGTGTATAAACAGTGTAGGATTCCTGATATCTGCCTCTCTAGTATCGTTCATATGTGTACAAAACATCTACGAGTGGAGGTACTGAGATATGAAACAAAATCAATTTAAAATGAAATCTATATTAGTGAAAACAAAAAAAGACATATCATAAAAATTAAAAAAAAAGCATGTACAATGCATAAAACATAAGAGGATTTTAGTTTGGGCAACTTAGACACCTTTCACCTACATGCAAACATTTAAATTTAATAATTTTCATAATGTCTAGAATCTGTTTCTTGCTTTCTGTGAAAGTTTTGCTCTTAAAATCATAAGATTATCGAAGCTTATCTTATCATTATTGCTAAATCAAGCTCAGCACTACAAAAAAAATGGAAACAGATTAATTCTATCTAAAACATTTGTTTTTTTATTATAACTTGAAAATTATATGTACCTCAAAACAAAACACATAGCGCTAAGGAAATAATTTATCATCTCATAGATTTTCTAAATGATGTATTTACAGAAGTGAAAATGAAAAAAAAAAAAAAAACCTCAGGGTCTTTTGTTTTAATCATGCTAAACTGGGTTTATCATTATACTTTATCTTCACACCAAAGACATAAATTAAATCAGGTTTAGTTGTTGCCATGTTACTTTAATCATTGTTTGAAAAGGTGAGACAGGAACAAAACACAAATTGTTTAGGATAAAAGGCAGCTAATCTTTGAATCTCTTCATTATGGATATATGTTCTGACTTAAAGGAATAGTACACCCAAAACATGATTAGCCTTCATTTTCTACTCACCCCCATGCTGAACAACACTCTGGAGTACTTTTTTGATATCTCAAATGCATCTGGAGATCTGGGAGGTTTCTTGCTGTCTGCTGACATTCAAATAATGGAGGTCTATGGTGCCCGAGACAGAAAGGTCCATAAAAGTCCACAAAAAACGTGTCAATATTCCTCCATACTGCTCGTCCAATGTATTCCAAGTGTCCTGAGTGGGTAGCATCCAGAATTTACTCGAAACAAAGTCATTTAGAATGTTTTTAGAGCATAAACAGTAGTGTATAGGATTTCCTGAAAGCGCGCACATGCGCGATCACGACGCTACGGAAGCCGGCAGACCAAACCAGATGAAAGTGCGCATTCAGCGTCTGCTCTTCCAATAATGCAATGAAGAAGGAATGTGCCGTTTACCTGTGCAAAGAAAGAAACAACGAAAGACAAATGTCTGAGGACTTCAGTGTTGAGGAAGAGCATGAGTTCTTTGCCGAGCTGAATGCGCTGGTTTGGTCTCTCTCTGTGTGCATGTTCATACTTTCACTGTCTTAGTGATTGTTTGTACTGCCTTTTTTTGGACTTTTGTATGATCATGGTCTGTTGCTGAGCAGCTAAGTAGCTAGCGGGATGTTTAGCAAGTTAGTTAGCTTGCTGCCTAAACATTGTTGTTGTGGTAGGTGATAACTGCATCGCTTGATATTTGGCAAACTTGCTTCACATGTGAAGTATCTCAAGACTGTGTATTTACTTTACTAAATTCCTTATTTTGCGCAGATTGGGTTTGAATCGCGTTTTGCAATGAGCTGCATAAATCTGAAACCAGTACAAAATGTAGTCGCGTTTGTTAGCCATAAACCTCACGAAGCTAGTAACGTTATGTATAAACTAGCGTTTACTGACGATCCTAGAAGCGTTTTTTGTCTGACTGTGATTTATTGTCAACCACGGAATGCATGGTCCCTCTACCTTTATCTAAATGAGTCCCCGACCAAACAAGTGTCATTGTTTGTATTATGACTTTGTATATGAACATTTATTTCTCTTTGTTGAAGTTATAAGCGAAGGCTAGTCACATACCGCAATAGACATGGTGATTCGTTGCGTTCGCCTGTCTGCTAAGCTCAAAACAACCGCGCCTGGTTTGACGGAGAAACCAGGAGAACAGCTGTGCATATTTACGACAGTGCACTTTTACTTTCGCCCTCTGGGGGGAGCCTCGCTGGAAAATCAACACAGGTTGCATAGTGTACCTTTAACAGAAAAAAAAAAACTAAACAAAAATTTTTTTTCAACTTTTATTGAAACATTTCACTCTGAGAAAAAAAAAGAAGGTTAATAAATGTCTCCTGATTCCCAACTGTGGTCATGCACTTGAATTAACCCATGGAAGGCATCTCTGTCCAAATTCTCTCCTGATTTGACTAATCAGAGTCTGGTCTGCTGTAACTGCCTCCAAAGCCGTTGCAGCCTGAGGACCATGAGACTTGACGGGCCTAATGACATCCTGCATATTCTAAACTTATTCTTGGACACTGTTTACCTCTACAGGGAGCTGTAAAGGCCTTGGGCTGCCGTCATTCTCCTCAGCTGTTTCTTTTGAGGTAAGAGTTTATAAATAAATAAATATATATATGTATATATTCAGTGTTGGATGTTCCTTTACATTATACGGGACTCACAATCAAGAATTCGCCCCAGGGAGATAGTAAAAATATGAAAATGGTAAGTAGAGGTTAGGATAAATGCATTTATGGGAACTTTTTAGTGTTTGTATTTCTGTCTTGTGGTCTGTACTTTGCTCCTGACCTGTCTGGAAGAACTTTTTATAGCTGCTATAAGGACTAGAGAAATGTATACTGGAACATTTCTTATAATGTCTTAATAAACAGATATTTAGCCTGTTGCGGTTTTAGCTTTTTTACCATTTCCTGCACCGTTAAAACTGTAATGATTCTAATGACAAAGAACATGAAAACTTCAGGCAAAGAAATAGAAAAATAGTGAAAGTGACAGAGGGAAAGAAAGGAGCGCACAGGAAAATTGACCCCCCAAATAGCTGCCATTGTAGATGATGGATTCCTCCCTAATCGAAACAGTTTGCCCAGTCGCCCAGCTGGGCTTCATGTGCTTTTGATTACTCTCCGCCATTTAGTTCCACAAAATTACATGCTGCCTAATGGCCTTTTAATGGTTATAGGTTTCTGTGCTCTTTAATGAGCCTGCACCAGTTGGCTGCTAATGCCCTATGGAAATTTGGCAAACGTCCAGTGTGGTTAAGTATATTTCCCTCCAGTTTACAGTTTACTTTGTTGTGTGAAATCGCAAACAAGGAGGCTGATGTGGAAATGCAACTTTGTTTTCCTGTTGGCTTGTTTCGATCTTCTGTGGAGCAGGGCCATAATTGTACTATTAAGCGTATGATTGTTTACACCCTTGTGTTCCCTGTGTTTTTTTTCTGAGGTGATAATGAGGGAAATATTCCATCAGAAGCAACATAAGTCATAAAACATGCATATAAAAATCCTATTTGATTGCAAAAAAGTTAGTTTTTTTTTTGGTCACAGAATCTCTCTCAGGAAGGCGAATACCAGTTATGGAGATGAGCTCACCCCAAGAACTGATCATTGACGGTCATAACTGTTTGCGTGGCTTTATCTCTGCAGCCCGTTTATTTTGGTGACTTCATGCATGCATACGTGCATGTAAGTGTGTGTTTGTGCCTTAATGGGGACCACAGCAGCTGCTTTTTGATGAGTGCCTGTTTACTGGACCTAATTAGGCAGAAAACGGCCACAGATATCCTCTCCTAAAGCAGGGCTGCAAACAGATGGCCAGAGGACCCGAGAATATGTCTGACACCATGCCCGACTTGGATAGCCACTCAGCCGCCCATGTGAAGAAGGAAAAAAACAGACTACTTGGAATATAAAGTGCCAAAAGTACAAACATTGCATTTTGTCTCATTTTATGTGAAGGACAAAGAGAGTTGTGCATAAATAGCCTGGCCAGCCAGTCTGACTTACACAGTACATATTCGATGCACAGCTTCTCAATCTGGGAAAGCTTAAACTCTCCCATGTAATACTAATTACTAATTAGCCCAATCACAACACAGGAAAAGGGAGTCTAGGCTTGCGTCAGAATTATCAATAATGTAACAGGGCCTTTTTTGCATTAGTAACAGTTGGGGCTGCTGACCCAACAGAGCAGTGTTTTAATGACGCCCTTTATTATGTCCAAAACATACAGGATATATCTTTAAAAACTCAACGAATTTTCTTTTTTACATCATATCTCCCGATTCTTTTAGGGCCGCCAACCTGCTCCTCTCCAAACTAATATGCCATGTTAAGCCGTAAGTGACGATAATCATTCTGGCTGGCCAGCCTGGTGCATACTTGGAAAGTTTAAGGAACAATATTTGTTTTTTTTTTTTAGATACATTTAATTTTTTTTCTTGCTGAAAATTTGTCATATCTTGGTGCTAATGACTGGCCTAAATGCTCATTGCATTCAACTGCCTAGCTCCGCCCAGTTTCTTATTACCGTTCATCTGTTCCACTTGTTTCATCCTCTTATTAACCTGCCTTCTTCCAGTCATCAGTGTCAGATTATTTGAGCCAAGTGTAACTAAGTGTTTTCTGATTTCCTGATCCTGACCCATTCGGCCTTTGAACCTCTGAGTCTGCCTTTTCCCGTTCTGAGCTGTTTGCCTGACCTTACTTCAGACTCCTGCTGGATTCTTCCTGTTACCAAACCCTGGACTCATTCCTGACACAGTCCTGGATTTCCCTTTGGCATATCTTTGGATCTCTGATCTTCTGGCACAGACTCCTGAGCATCTCCTCAACACCGGCTTTGACGGTGTCCCATTTTGTCAGCAGCCGACCGCCTGAAACCAACCTCATCCTCTGGGCACGGACTGAACTGTTAAACCAGGTTAGTGACTCACACCTTCATAATTATCCTCCACCATCCAGCCAACCTACCCCAAGTATAGTCATGTAGCAGAATGGTCTGGTCAGATTCCAAACCGAAAATCGAAATGGGAATTTTATTAGACTTAAAATTGTTGTTCACAGATGCTTTTCATCCCATCCGACTGAGCTTCAGCATTAGCTTAGAAATATCCATCTCCAGATTGACAAACATTTCGAAATCAGTTTGCTTTCACCTCACAATTATTCACTACTGTGTGTTATTTTACCATATAAATTCACACAAAACACACGAGTTGTAATTCAAAGCAATGTTTCAAAGATATGAATTCCTTCCCAAAGCACTGTATAATGATGAATGCATAGGAGGAATTTCCACTAAAAAAGGGACAAGGATGAACTTGTGGTCTTTGTCATACAGCTTCTGGGGTTAATCCTCCTACATAAGCCCAACAGAATTTGACAGGTCTTGGGCAAAAAACCTACTGCCTCCCTAATGGCCTCAAGGAGAAACACTGCTATATACCTTCTGCTTTGTGATTCTATATATTACCTTACCTGTCTGGAGTGTGACAGAGGCTTACCCCAGGGAATGAGCAGGACTTTTACTGACACTTAATGGATCACAGAAGCAACTCGTTACATGCCTCTATGATGAAGACATCATCACATAGCTATGCAGAACAAGAGACCGCAGGCACCCTCTTGTTTTAAAGAGTTTTTACCACTACAATAGAGGAAAAAGGAGCTACTCATAAGTATAAGTTAACAATCTGACCACCAGCAATACTAAGTTGAAAACAGACTAAGCTGTATGGTCCAAAACACCTAAAGAGCTGTATTTTAGTAGTTTAATTTATAGTAGTTTAAACTCTCTTAGCCTGGTGTTCTTCAACACCTGTTGTGATTTATTGCATATCACTTGAGTCACAGAAAACTCCAATCCAAACAAAACCTTTAGTAAACCAGCGGCATCTGCACCAATGGTAAAGCTGTAGCAGAGTCCTGCCTGGTCTGATTTTTTAAAACTGTATCCACTCACACCCATAGAGTTCAGAACCGAGACCTGATCCGTTACTTGCAATTATCCCTATTCAAAAGCTGGCCACGACCGCCCGGACCTTTAAATTATAAAGTACGACTCGATCCGGATCACAAAGTGTAAAAAGCTGTTAATAGTAACAGAGGCAGCAAAGAACATTGCCTCATGTTCACATCCAATTGACCAAAGTAAGAAGGTTTGCCGCATTGCTTAAAAAAACAGTTATCTGGATATTCTTTAATCAATTTATTTTTTAAGACATACAGTTAATAAATAAGAAAATATAAATAAGTTTAATTCATGCTGTAACTCTCTGTATAATAGCTGCCCATATTTTGTTCATTTATTATACCCGCTGCCCGCACCTGTGAAATAATATGGTGTTTATTTCTACCCATAGCCTGGTGCAGGATTCTGAGCTGTAGTACATATGCCGGTCCCTTTGGTGGTGATGTGACGGTGCAACAGATTCACACCCAGACTACAACAAACACTGTGCATGTGCAGACACCTATCAGGAGGTAATCATAGCAATATGATGGTGAAGAGACATATACAGGGTACAAGGGTAGGGTGGGCTACAATGACATCGTAAAAAACGGTGCGGTTCACATTAAATGGGCTTTCTCTCATTTTTAAACTGTAGGACTCGGTTTCGAAAACAATCTTTCCCAAAACCATCAATTTAGATACACAGCTTTAACGACAGAATATGTTTGCGGTTACATCTAATCTTGTTTCCTTTCAGCTGGTGTTGCTGGTAGTAGAAGAGAAGATGTGCTTGAACATCTCATTCTGCTGTTTCTTTATTTTCATCAGAACTTATAAATCAGAAGGAGATCACATCTACTTTAACCATATTCTTGTTCAAAGTCTGATTTACAAGTTGGGAGATGATAGTTGATATGCGTGATTGATGGCTAACAATGAGCAATCTCTTAATTTTGTATGTTAAATCCATTGTCAATAGGTTTCCTAAAGTAATATTCTCATGTTACTTAAGTTAACTTAATGACAAATAAACGGTTAGATTATGAAAATGTATCTGTTTAGTAAAGAAGGAAGCCATATTGGAATTTCATCCTCCGGATATTGGTGCATTTTTCCTCTCAGAACTCCAAGACTAAGGAAGCCTCATCCAACATCTGACTTGGAAAATTAAAATTGAATTCATGACATATCTGTATGACCTCCTTCAACCAAGCATGGAGGAAAACGTCATAATAGTTTTGTTCTTTTCTGTCTAACACCATAACCAACAAAAAAGTCAGAGCTTTGACACAACTGTTAAATTTCTATTCAGATAATGTTATTAGGAAAACTTTATTTACTTTATTTATTGTTTTTAGTTACAAACAGTTTGTATTTGCTGGACCAAAATAAATGCATTAAGTCTTCAATTTCTGCCGACACAAATGGCCAATCAATTCTGCCCTTTTAATGAAAAAAAAAAACATTTTTTGGGTGGTAACAGTTTATTAGTTTAGTACAACATACAACACTATCTACTACCTACTATGTCTGAACTATAGATGTTGCCATCTACAAATACAAATTAAAGAGAAATTGCTTGAAATTTTACAATATGACAGTAAGTGCTGTCTTTGTTCCTGCTGCCACTATTGATATGATTTGTAAATCTACAACTATTTTTACCATATTTAAACGGATGGTCCTGCCAGCACATACACTTACTAATGGCCCTCATGAGGATGCACAGGTGCTGTAACTTAACTCAAACTAATACAGATGAGTTTGATATGATATGACTCACTTTTGCCTGCATGTATTTAAAAGTCTGAATATTACCAATGTGACAAGTAATCCACACTAATCTGTGTGATATAAAAAAGTGTGTGTATACATAGGTGGGAGGTTAGTGGTACTCTAGAGGGCAGCAAGAGACCATCTACAATAATGACTGCTTATATCATCTTTTGGCAATGATATGTTTATGGGGTTATTTAGTATTTTCTCAATATGGCAGTCTGCACTGGCATACAGTACCTCACATATTTTTTTTATTGAATTCTAACTTTTTAGGCAGCTCTAGATAAAATCATGATACGCAGATTTAAATTTGTATTGATTATTATATTAACTCAGCTCAACTTTGAGGTTTTATAAACTTTAAAATATGAGCAAGTTTATGACAAGAATCTCTCAATAAAATAAGATTTCAGGTTAAGGATTTAATGTGATGTTGGTCATTAAATTAAAAGCTGTGAGTGTTCACATATTTACAAGTTTAGCAAAAGCTGTGGGACTGAGTTGTTGCCCATATTTTAGAGCAGACACTTTTCTTTGCAATAACATGATAGACATAATATTTTATTTAGAATCAAGCAAAGTGAAGTTTATTTTTACAAGAATATGTGGTTTTCGATGTTGCTTATATGCAAACTTTACATTACAGTTTGATGTTTCAGCCCCTTCATCAGCTGCGACTCGCTACTCCACCAAGAGCGGAGAAAGCTGGATTACTTTTTGACCAGCCGTTAAAAATGTTAATAATTTTGTATAATTTATGAAATTATATTGTAGATGGTAATGTTCACGTGCTTTTCCAGTTTTTATACTTTTTTTTACATTGCAATGGCAAATTTTTATTTTTATTTCATTTTATTTTTTATTTAGAAGTCTCATCAGCAACCTCTTGTTATGTAGAAGGCAATATATTCAGTGTGGTTAGATGTTTAATCTACCCGATCACTTCTTTGAAATTAGCATTTTAACTTTGTTTAATTACAAATGAATACATTTAGACAAAACCTGATGTTAGCCTTCAAACAAAACTTCATTTTTCTACTAAGCTGTTGTCAGGAGTTTTTCTCTAAAGTAAGTGGGGGAACTACAACAAAAGAAAAAATACAACCACGAAAAGCCTTGAATAAATGCCATGCCCCATTTCTGTATTTTTTTAATTAACCAGGTTAGTCCCTTTGACATCTAAAATTCTTTTGCAAGAGATTCCTGATCAAGTGGAAAGCAGCATGTAACATATAAAACACATTAAAAAATCATACAAAATGAAAAACACAAAAACCATATAGAACAAATTAAAACTGTATAAATTTTTACCTAAAACATTTACACACAGACATAATTAATTGCAGGGATTTAACAAGAATTTTAAATTCTTTCAGCGACACAAGGACTTGAATGTGAAGTTCAGACTGTAATTTATTCCAAGTATTGAATGCTTAACTTTTCTTGCCCATTTCAGTTCCTACTTTAGGGACTGGAAAGTGTCCCCATTTTACCTTTATTAATTTTTTTAAGTTTCTATGCTCATTTTAATAAAATAATCAATCAATTCCTACATCAGATGTAACATGTAGGCCAGCATTCCATACCAAGCCATGACCATCTACTTCATACAGTTTTACAACATGTTGATAATAGGAGCTGGACTCTATTATGGAATTGTCCGCTGTCATCGCGCTCCCAGAGTGGACCGCAGGCTGTTAGAAACCTGACTCTTCCATTTGGGACAGCGTGGATGAACAAGAAGGGATCAGTTCAGGAATGATCAGGCCGCAGAACACTGTGAACCTTCACAAACAGTGTTTTAAACTGCATCCCCTGCCGACAACATTTTTCTCTGCATTGTATGTGCACTATAAATCATTAAAACAAAGCAACACTGGGTACAGTAATATCAAACCCTCACACTAACTGTCTGTGTGTGGTGCCATGCAAAAGTAGCCCCACCCTAGAACTTTTATGGATTTGCACAAAAGGTCTACAGAAAGTGTCACTAGAAAACTGCTTACATGAATCACAAAAACATCATCCTGTCAGCGAGCTCTTTAGGAATGTACAGATAACTTTATGCTGCCTTTGACCTTTACTGGTGAGAATCCTACTACTTTTGGACTGGACCTCTCATTGGGTTCAAACACAGTACAGCAGCATCACAGGTAGAGAAAAAGGACAATAACACATGAAGCTAGGTA